GTTGTCTGATTGTGTATGTAATATTGGTAGAGGCTAGTCTTCATGAACCAATGTATATCTTCATATGTAACTTGATCATTAATGGTATATTTGGAAATTCAGTCATTTTCCCCCAATTTATAATTGACTTGCTGACTGGATCTTCAACTATATCCTTTTATGAATGCCTAGTACAAGTATTCTGTATGCAAAGCTTTTCTACTGTGGAAGTCTTCACTTTTACTGCCATGGCCTATGACCGATACTTGGCTGTAGGCTACCCACTGAGATATGCCACCCTAATGACGAATAGAAAAGCTCTGAAATACATAGCAGTTATCTGGATTTCAGCCTTCATACTTGTTGTTATTCCATTGATTATGACGGCCAACCTGAAATTCTGCGGGGTCAATATTAATAATATTTTCTGTGAGAACATGTCCCTTGTCAGGCTGGCTTGTGGGAACTCAGCCGCGGTAAATAATATTTTTGGACTTGTGGAAACACTCCTTGTCCTTTTTTGGAACATTTGTAATTATCATATATTGCTACATGAGGACATTGTGGATCTGTTTAAAGATCTCCAAAGTAACTTGCCTGAAAGCCATGCACACTTTGTCCTCACATATAATCACTTTTTCCATTTTCTTGACAGCTGCCTTGTTTGTTTTTTTAAGATACCGCTTGAATGGCGGGGCAATTTCTATCCCCATTCATGTTTTCCTTTCTATCACTGGACTTCTCACATCAGTTATTGTGAACCCTATTGTCTATGGTATAAGGACTGAAGCTCTAAAATTAAAAATAATCCGAAATGTACATAAACTGAAATTCTGGAAAGATGTTTCTGATTTAAAATAAATTAAGTGTCATAATTGTAATTAAAATTATATTTTAGTGATGTTTTGATTGATTTCAGTACTGTGCAGGGTTTTTATTATGGTTTGAATCATTGTGATGCACTTTTTTGCTCTGTAATATTGGAGGGATTTGCTGTCCAAGAATAACAATGGGATTAATTTACTAAAGGCAGATAGACTTTGTGGTTGGAAATGCAGTTGCTCCAGAGCTTAGTAAATGAGGAGAAGGTCTGTTGACTGCCCTCATCCAATTATGTGCAAAAAAAAACTGTTTTTTCTTCCTTGCATGTGATTATGAATCCTTTGAAACTTTGTCTCATTTACTAATCTCTGGAGCAATTGCTCTTGCAGAGTGCAACTGCACTTTCAAGGTGCACTGTCTATTTGCCTTTAGTAAATCAACCTCAGGGGTGTGAGGAAAGATCTCTTTAAGGTAGGGGGAATTTCCTTCTTAAAGCATGGCATCTGGTGTGAATTGACTCTAGAGGAAGACCGGACAAAGATTGCACAGTCAGATTGCAAAGTATATAGTGAGCTTTCGACAATTGTTCCAAAAAGTTCCTGTGCAGGCACTTCTTTATGGTTCCGCAGCTGTGCTCCAACTCTATTTCTCTATTTTCTTATACTTTCCCTGCTAATTCAACACAGCTGTCCCCTGACCCCCCACCCCCACTTCCCTACTCAGTCCATTACTGCTGGTCCTTGCTCCTCACTCCCAACCAACACTGTTGTCCTGCTCCTCACTCCCAACCAACACTGCTCTCCCCTGCTCCTCACTTCCAACCAACACTGCTGTCCCCTGCTCCTCATTCCCAACCAACACTTCTCTTCCCTGCTCCTTACTCCCAACCAACACTTCTGTCCTATAAAATAAAAGTGAATACTTGTGAGCTACTATGACTGAGGTGTTCAATATATTATTCGTAATTATAAACAACCTAGATATTATACTAGGTGCGCTGACACTTTCACAAACTCACTTGGTTGTGTATCTAATAATCAATGTATATATACTTATAATGCCGCGCTCCTACTATAAGTACTTAATCACATATTATGTGTCACTCATCTAAATAAATATATAAATAAACGGAATAATGATAATTAATAGTAAGTGATAAATGTGACATATAGATCAATATGTTTAAATTAAACCAATATAGCTTAATTATACCATTTGTGCTCAATCAATAATATCAATACAATAAATTGTGCAAATATAATACATATAGTGCATGAATAAATTAAAAAGTCTTTTTTATAAATTAGTGCAATGTGCAATGTGCAGGTGAACCCCTTAATCCCTCTTTCCAGGTGCCGTGTGGTCTCAATATGCGCTCACCTTAATATTTGCCCAAATAAATTTAGGCAAATAAACTTTTTGTCCTTCCAGGACTGGTGGGATGGTGCTCCTATATATGGTATTCCAAATGGAAGTAAAGGTCTGCTCAGATCCTCTTTTTATCTCCTCTCACTCCATACACATAGCCACTCATGGATGGACCTTTGGAACATATGTGAAAATCTCCTATTTCCCCTCCTGGGGACACCTCCTCCTCTTGTCCACCTTTCCTCAGTGTTGGATATATAAATCAAGTGGAGAAAAGAAAGACCATGGTGCCTTATCCTTTTATATGAGAGTAGTTTATTGTTGCCAGAAGCGGTGATATAACAGTTTATGGCACTTATCTGGTACAGATATGCAAAAGCTGGTAATGCTCTCTGCCTCTCTGTCTGCCTCTGCTGGAATCGCCGAGCTTCTCCGATGCAACGTCGTGACGTCAGAGGAGGGGCTCTGACGTCACGACGTTGCATCGGAGAAGCTCGGCGATTCCAGCAGAGGCAGACAGAGAGGCAGAGAGCATTACCAGCTTTTGCATATCTGTACCAGATAAGTGCCATAAACTGTTATATCACCGCTTCTGGCAACAATAAACTACTCTCATATAAAAGGATAAGGCACCATGGTCTTTCTTTTCTCCACTTGATTTATATATCCAACACTGAGGAAAGGTGGATAAGAGGAGGAGGTGTCCCCAGGAGGGGAAATAGGAGATTTTCACATATGTTCCAAAGGTCCATCCATGAGTGGCTATGTGTATGGAGTGAGAGGAGATAAAAAGAGGATCTGAGCAGACCTTTACTTCCATTTGGAATACCATATATAGGAGCACCATCCCACCAGTCCTGGAAGGACAAAAAGTTTATTTGCCTAAATTTATTTGGGCAAATATTAAGGTGAGCGCATATTGAGACCACACGGCACCTGGAAAGAGGGATTAAGGAGTTCACCTGCACATTGCACATTGCACTAATTTATAAAAAATACTTTTTAATTTATTCATGCACTATATCAGTGGTTCTTAACCTGGGTTCGATCGAACCCCAGGGGTTCGGTGAGTCAGTCTCGCGGGTTCGGCGGAGGTGAAGACCCACACCCGACTCATATGATTCGTGCAGTAAATATTCATTATTATGTTTTTGTTTTTGTGTGAAAATCATGTTTTAATGGTTTTGTTCTTAATGGTTTTGTTAATTTTGTGCACCTATGTATAAATATATACCTATGTTTTGAATTTGAAAAATCATATTTTATTTTTCCAATTAAGAAGGGTTCAGTGAATGCGCATATGAAACTGGTGGGGGTCAGTACCTCCAACAAGGTTAAGAACCACTGCACTATATGTATTATATTTGCACAATTTATTGTATTGATATTATTGATTGAGCACAAATGGTATAATTAAGCACTATATTGGTTTAATTTAAACATATTGATCTATATGTCACATTTATCACTTACTATTAATTATCATTATTCAGTTTATTTATATATTTATTTAGATGAGTGACACATAATATGTGATTAAACACTTTTGTCCTCTTCTCCTCATATCCAACCAACACTGATGTCCCTACTCCTCAGTCACAATCAGTACTGCTTTCCCCTGCTCCTCACTTCCAACCATCATTGCTCTCCCCTGCTCCTCACTCCCAACCAACACTGATGTCCCCTGCTCCTCATTCCCAACCAACACTGCTCTACCCTGCTCCTTACTCCCAAGCAACACTTCTGTCCTCTTCTCCTTATTTCCAACCAACACTGATGTCCCTACTCCTCAGTTGAAATCAGTACTGCTTTCCCCTGCTCCTCACTTCCAACCAACACTGCTCTCCCCTGCTCCTCATTCCTAACCAACACTTCTCTTCCCTGCTCCTTACTCCCAACCAACACTTCTGTCCTCTTCTCCTCATATCCAATCAACACTGATGTCCCTACTCCTCAGTCACAATCAGAACTGCTTTCCCCTGCTCCTCACTTCCAACCAACACTGCTGTCCCCTGCTCCTCACTCCCACCCATCACTGCTCTCCCCTGCTCCTCACTTCCAACCAACACTGATGTCCCCTGCTCCTCATTCCCAACCAACACTGCTCTACCCTGCTCCTTACTCCCAACCAACACTTCTGTCCTCTTCTCCTCATTTCCAACCAACACTGATGTCCCTACTCCTCAGTCGCAATCAGTGCTGCTTTTCCCTGCTCCTCACTCCCAACCAACACTGCTGTCCTCCTCACAGAGACTAATGGCGACAAAGCTTCCACCACTCCATACTTCTGAACTTTGAATTAAAGTGAAATTCTACTCAAATTCTAACTAAGACTAAACCCATCTCCATCCCCAAAACTGTGCTGCTGCTTGCATGCTCCATGAATGGAGGTGTGCTGACAGCTCTACGATTATGTCAGCACATTTTCTTTTAGCTTACAGAAACTAAGTGTCAACAGCTTAGCAGAATAAATAGATGCAAAACCAGATGTAACACCCTCTAGGTTAGCTAGATACACTGTTTGTTGTTTTCTTTTTTAGGCAGAGGCTGAGTAGCAGCCTGGGATGAGTCAGCCTGTGAGTGAGGCAGAGGTTCACCTCAGAACAGGCTAGGGACATTCTAAGGTCAGAGCTTCTGGAGTCCTCCCACCTCTCCAGAAAAATGATCATCATCTTTGATCGGCTATCCACAATAGAAGTTAAACTAACAGGTCTGTAGTAACTTGGTAAAGACTTTGACCCTTTTTAACCTAGCCACTTGCGGACCAGTGACACGGATATCCATGCATCGCTGGACTTTAAGCAGTTATACCGGTGTAGCCCTGTTTTGGGGGGGGTTATGTGAAATGGCCCACACCAAACAGGCTATGGCGCTAACCTGTATATGAGTAGGCAATCCTGAGCCTTCGCTATATGGAAGAGGGGGTTGTGATAACACAAATGGCAGTGCCTCCACCTAGAATAGGGATCCTGCAATTGAGGAGACTCACCCCTTTCTAGGAATGTAACAGGTAGACAACTTAAAGTAACTATACATAGCAGTATTAATGCACCCAGCTTATATTTCTAGCATGAAAACATGTCACCACACCTGTATGAGAATAATGCAAAGTTTATATAAAGCAGCCACATAAAACAGGATGCATAAGAATAACATTCAGGAATTACAATTTACCATAAATTGGGAGGTTGCAATTATACCCGGGTATATGTGCATGTAGTATACAGAATACCTCCAACCATGAGTTATAGCGCAGTCCGGTTGCAGGGGCCCCTGGAGAGGTGAGAGTCAATAAGATGCACGCTTCCACTTCAGATGCTACGATGGCGTCCAAGTAACACGTTCTATGCGGATGATTGCACTGCTTGTCTGACGATCAGCGATGCATCACCTAAAAGGATAAAATGCCCTATCTATCCTTACTCTTAGTCCCTATCCCTAAACTGGGCTGTCACTGCAACCGGGCCTCTATCTGTCTAAGAGGCCGTCGGATGCCTAACCTACCTCTAGCCTAATCTATCCAACGCTCCCTATGCTAATCCTAGCTAAAGGGAGATCCAGACCAATAAGGGTGCTATGGCTTTAAGTAAAGAGGCTGCAAAGATACACTGCAATTAACAGAAAGTTCACCTGACAGTCTTATGCAGATGAAAACACTGATATATATATATATATATATATATATATATATATATAGACAACTATAAGGATTCTGCAGCGTGTAAATAGAATAATGATAATGAACCACAAATCTCTCTCTCTTACAGAGATATTAGGGTTCCTATACAGAAATTGAAATATAACAGAAGCAGACCTAATCTGCTTCAGTAACAACTAGATAGATAGCAGCCTTGTTAATCTGGATCATTACTCACAGAATCACCATACAGTTCTCCCCAGATACATAGCACATGGCAGGCTGGCACCCTCTGCCTGATACTTCCTGGAAAAACAAACTATATCACAACCTGGGGTTTCTTGACCTCCTTGCAGGGGCAGGAAGCACACCTAGGGACTTGTCTGTAATGGGACCTCTATGGTAGTGGCTGTATATGAATGTAAACAAACCACAACTAGTGTATAAAATAGCGGTTCCCTACACCGGGATGATGCCTGCAACCGCAGGCATTGTCCTGATACTTTTCATTAGAGCTGGAAGTCGGCTCTCTTGTAAAAGCTAACAAGCCGCTCAATTGCTTTTACGAGCAGCAGAAGGGTACGTCCCCCCAACTGGAGACCGGAGCGACCAGCCAGCTGGCTGGACAGCCCATCAAAGCCGGCATCAGCTTTGATCGGTTATCCACTATAGTAACCCGGAAGTGATGGCCTGACATTACTTCCCGTTCGTCACTCAAAACTAAATAGCGCCATTTAAAAAAAAATGTAAAGCATTCAAAAACACTGATGTTGTGTGTTTTTTTGAATGCTTTTAAGTGCAGAAGAGGGAATTTGGGGTCTTATTGATTCCTGATCCCTCTATAAAGAATACCTGTCACATGCCTATTGCAGTCACAAGGGATGTTTATATTCCTTGTAACAGCAATAAAAGTGATAAAAATATGTAAAATAGTGTAAAAGTAAAATAAATTAATAATTTAAAAAATTTAAAGTGCCTCCATCCCCCCCCGTGTGCTTGCGCTCAAACAGTAATCGTTCCACACATGTGAGGTATCACTGCAAGCATCAGATCATGGGCAGTAATCCTAGCACCAGATCTCCTCTGTAAATTTAAAATGGTAACCTGTAAAGGCTTTTAAAGCGTTGCCTATGGATAATAAAATTTACATCTTTGTCGCCGGTGCGTTTGAAAAATCGCTGCGCAAATACCTTGTGATATAAAAAAAATGCAAAACCCATAATTTTATTCTCTAGGGTCTCTACTTTTATATATATGTATATATATATATATATATATAATATATATATATATATATCAGGGGCGGAAACTTGGCCAAACTCAAAAAAGTCTATGAAAAAGGTACCAGGGGCATCTAATGGGGCCCCCTACTGACCCCGGGCCCTCGGGCAGTGCCTGAGTTTCCAAATGGTCAGTCCGCCCCTGATATATATATATATATATATATATATATATATATAATGTTTTTGGAGGTTCTAACTAATTTTCTAGCAAAAAATACATATTTTTACAAAACAGAAAAGGCCTGGAGGTCAAATGGATAGGCACCACAGGCACCACATTGGCCTTCCACCAATCCAGTGGTACTATGCCAGTCATTAGTCCCTAAAGTTTAGAAACAATGGCATTGAAATGACAGAGTTGAGATCCTTTAAGATTTGTGGGTATATGCCTTCTGCTCCAGGTGCTTTATTCACTTTTATTCTCTCTAAATATTTCTGGACCATATATTGAGCCATAGTGGTTTATTTGGGGCTGTATCAATCTCATCCCCATTATGGACATGAACTCTCCCACACAGAGCTGAAGAAGGCATTTAACCATTTCAATACCGGGCAATTTTACACCTTCCTGCCCAGGCCATTTTTCAGGTTTCAGCGCTCTCACACTTTGAATGACAATTGCGCGGTCATACAACATTGTACCCAAACTAAAATTTTATCATTTTCTTCACACAACTAGAGCTTTCTCTTGGTGGTATTTAATCATCACTGGGGTTTTCATTTTTGCTAATATTGATCAATCCTGAAGTACTGACAGCTAATCTAATTTCTTGAGGTCCAAGAATGTCAGAATAGTACAGATATCCCCCAAATGATCCCTTTTTGCAAAGTAGACAGTCCGATGTATTTCATAAGAGGCATGGCGAGTTTTTTGAAGTTGTATTTTTTTTGTCATAATTTTTCGGAAAATGAAAAAATAAAAAAATAAAAAAATGATTTTCATAACTGGCATGGCGGTGATCAGGGACACTGACTGGTGACAGTGTGAAAAATATATATATATATTTTTTTTTTAATCTTTTTTTTAATTTTAATTTTACATTTTTTTTACATTTTTTTTTTTTTTTTTAAGATTTTTTTTTTCATATTTCACTATGTCCAAAGTAGTACACTGTTACCATAGTAACATTGTACTACTTTGGGAAAGTGATCAGTATTTTTTTTTTTTACACAATTTGCTTATAGCAAAGAATTACTTTGCTATAAGCAAGCATTTACCTGAATGACATCGATTCATTCAGGGTTTTTTTTTTTTGTGCTTAGCTGTGATTTGGCCACAGCTAATCACATGACATGTGCATGTGATTAGCTGTGGCCATTCACAGCTAGACACTAGTATACAATGGATGGCATGAATGAAGCCATCCATTGTATACAACTGTCATATGACCTGCTGTGACTGGTCACAGCAGGTCACATGGTACTGGCAACGGGGGCGGTACTCAGATCTGTCATTGGCCATGTCCGAGGTACACGGCTGGTGACAGATCGCGCCGCTGTGCAGCTCTGCAAGCGTGCGAACCGTGCATGTGCGGGAGGAGGCCAATACATTTTGCGGACGCCATTTGGCCATTTGGCCATGTGTGCAGCTCTGCAAGCGTGCGAACCGTGCATGTGCGGGAGGAGGCCAATACATTTTGCGGACGCCATTTGGCCATGTGAGAAGTGATCTCAGAACGAGTGTGAAAGAGGACCTAGTTGATGGAGAGTGTGATGAGGCTGAAGAATTATGGGTGGAACCAGGGGTGGACTGACCATTTGGAAACTCGGGCACTGCTCGAGAGCCCAGGGTCAGTAGGGGGCCCCATGAGATGCCCCTGGTACCTTTTACATAGGCTTTTTTGAGTTTGTGTCAAATGGTTAATAAATTAGCCTTCTCTCTGTCCCTAGTCACCCCATTTTGTGGGTTTGTCCTACTCTCTTTTGCCATCTGTCATTTGTTTTGAATGTTTGCGGCCTTGATTTCCTTTTTAAAGATTATGTTACGTTCCTTGAAACATTTAAAGGAAGATAGTGTTCCTTCATTTCTATATTTTTTTTTAAAAGCTCATTTCCTATTGTTTATAGATTTTTTGCGTTTGGTTTTGAGGTTTTGTTTTTAGCCTTTTACACTTATTTCCTATGGAAATATATTTTGCAGTGTGTTCACATACAGTCTTTTTGAAGAATTACCATTTCTGTTCAGTGTTCATCAATTGCAATATTCCCTCACAATCTAAGTCTTGGAGAGCAGCTCTCACCCTTGGAAAACTTGCTCTCTTAAAGTTGAATGTTTTCATCTTTTCATCTTTTATATGAACATTAGTAATATGCTCTGCATGGTTAGAGATTACCAGGTCCAGCAGAGCATAATTTTTAGTTGGTGCCTCTATGAATTGTACCATAAAATTGTGTTGCAATAGGTTTATACATTTTTGTCCTTTAACTGTTCCAGCAGTGCCGTTACTCCAGTCAATTTCAGAGTAGTTAAAATCCCTCATTATCACTGTCCCAACCCTTACAGCCCTTTCTGTCTGTGCAAGGAGCTGAGTCTCTACCTCCTCATTAACACTTGGAGGCCTATAACAAACTCCAATGATTACCTTTGTAATACGCACCCCCATGTGCAGTCCACGAGGGGTGGACTGACAACTCATGGGGCCCCCGGGCAATAGGGGATCATGGGCCCCTGTGTCCTTGCCCAAACTCAAAAAAGCCTATGTAAAAGGTACCAGGGGCATCTCATGGGGCCCCCTACTGACCCTGGGCTCTCGAGCAGTGCCCGAGTTTCCAAATGGTCAGTCCACCCCTGGTTCCACCCGTAATTCTTCAGCCTCATCACACTCTCCATCAACTAGGTCCTCTTTCACACTCGCTCTGAGATCACTTCTCACATAGAGACAGACACCACCGTCTTTCCGGTTTACCCTATCTCTCAGATAGAAAGCATATCCAGGAATATTAATGCCCCATGTGAAGAATGAAGCCAAGATTCAGCAATACCAATGAAATCATAATTCTGTTTATGCACCAAAACTTCCAACTCCCCTCTTTTGCCTGGCAGACTGCTGGCATTGGTGAACCAACACTTTAATTCATTGTCACATTTTGCACATATATTTTACATTTTTTTTGTAGTACAAACAGTACCATTTCTAATGTTTTTTTGTAACATGGGAAACTTCTTATCACCTGCCATAGTCCTCCCCTCATCTTCCCCTATTCCACCCAGCAATAGCGACTGATCCCTACAGGGACATTGGTTAAGACCAGTTGGATGTTGAAAAATGCAAAGTCATGTATGTGGGTGCTAAAAACTTGCAGGCAGGGTCAGGGGCGGACTGACAACTCATGGGGTCCCCAGGCAATACGGGATAATGGGGCCCCTGTGTCCTTGCCCAAACTCAAAAAAGCCTATGAAAAAGATACCAGGGGCATCTCATGGGGCCCCCTACTGACCTCGGGCCCTCGGGCAGTGCCCGAGTTTCCAAATGGTCAGTCTGCCCCTGGACAGGGTCTTTTTCCTACGTTCTCTACTATGCAACTATGCACCTATGTAACATACAATGGAGTTGTAAAACTGGTCAGTGAAGAGATTTGTCCTAATGGAGCAATCAAATCAAAGTATTTATATAAAAAAGAACTTGCGCTTAGAATCTAAATAATCAAAATGATAAAGCAGCTTGCACATTAAACAGGCAAAGACTTAAATGATAACAAACAATTGCAGTGCTATCTATACATACATCTTAATGGTAAAGCAAAAAAGGTTAATAATAAATTCACATAAGTGGCAGCAAAGTCCATATAGGATTCACATATACAGGTAGAAGTTGGTGCATAAAGAAAAAAGCCCGATCCAAAGAGAAGACCTTCCACCCAAAAGAATTGGCCTCTTACTAATTTTTCATCAAGTTGATTTTCAGTATCCAATGTGGGACCAAAAGTGCGGTTTGACCGAGCATATTACCAGGGGCGGCCTGACAACTCATGGGGCCCCCCGGTCAATAGGGGATCATGGGGCCTCTGTGTCCTTGCCCAAACTCAAAAAAGCCTATGAAAAAGGTACCAGGGGCATCTCATGGGGCCCCCTACTGACCCCGAGCCCTCGGGCAGTGCCTGAGTTTCCAAATGGTCAGTCCGCCCCTGCATATTACATGTGAGTTCGCATTGTTGGAGGTGAGAAGACATTTGGTGGAGGAATTGTGCACATTTCTTTGGTTGGAGCACTCAGTGATAACAGGAGGAAGGAAATTCTATATAGAAGCATCTTTGTTTGGACTTTTATATTATCATCACTTGTATTATTCACTATTATTTATTAATTACTTAGGTTTGTAGCGCTGCACTTTATTTTATTTTTATTTAATTGATTTTGCCCATATATGAGATAGGGTCTTGTGTTATAGTGGCTATATGTTTATTTGGGTATGTTACATTTACATATAATTTTTCACGTGCACTTGCATTTTAATCCATAGTAGCGAGTGAGATTTCCAATTAATTCACCTTTAAAAAATATACCACCAAAATAAATGTTAAAAATACCTCCTGAAACAAACCCTATTTTTTTTTTGTGTAGCCAAAAAATGGAAACAGCAGCTAAAAGTGACCATTGATGTCAAATCAGCCACAACATAAAATAAAGACAAAAAAGGTTAAGAAAAAGGCAGCAAATGAGTTAATTTTCTAAAGAGCCAGCAATCATATTTAAGTTCAGTTTCCTAACTGATTCTAATCTCTCCCTATGCAGTTTATCAACTTTCTGCTTCCTTCTCTCTATATAGCAGCATTAGTACACTGTTACTATGGCTGCTCGGTGCCCCCTTCTTTTATAGTAAGGGGTGCTACTTTATCCAAAAGCCCCCTTATTGGCCCTTCAAAGCCTGCTGCCTATGGATCAAAGACCACAAGATTTGCCACAAATCCTTGGTAGAAACAAATTCTAACCAGGGGCGGACTGACAACTCATGGGGCCCCTGGGCAATAGGAGATCATGGGGCCCTTGTGTCCTTACCCACACTCAAAGCATACCCAAAAAGCCTATAAAAAAGGTACCAGGGGCATTTCATGGGGCCCCCTACTGACCACGGGCCCTCAGGAAGTGCCCGAGTGCTCGAGTGGTCAGTCCGCCCCTGATCCTAACCTCACCCCTACTCCTTGTGCATGCTAAGTTCTGTTTGTGTTGGTAAATTAAAATAATATATCCCTGTGTTACTCAAACACAGTTCAGATTGTGGCTCAGAACCATCTCTCAACAATCCAGAAGCACACAGCTTCAGCAGCAGAGGGTTCTGTAACACTATGGTCATGTGTCTCTTGATTCGTTGCACTTTGGCCCAGCAGGAGGACAACATCTCTCCTCTGTCCTGTGTTGAGCTTCTTCGACTTGCGCAGTTACAAAGTCCAAGGAGTAACCCCGAGTCCCTATGCACATAGGCTCCCTTGCTACAGTAATACTCAGGGCACACTGAGCCCTTTCCCTGGGCTCAATGCATTAGCCAGACACTCTTGTTCTGCACATAGGTCCACCAAAGACACACTTCCTAGGCCGCCCACTCTCCCTGCAGGTCTCTTGACCTCTGTCTCGTTGAACAGTGGGCAGGGCTGTAACTGAATATTACCCCAACATCTCATATTTCTGATTTGTGTCTGTATTACCATGTACTTGTAGGAAAAAGTATCCTGTCCTATTTGCATTGCTTCCTATGTGTGAAATAACTGAATGTTACATAGTTAGTCGAGCCGAAAAACGACAAAAGTCCATTCAGTTTCAACCATTGAAAAAAAAAAAAAAGTTATAATTCCTATACCCACAGTTGGTTCAGAGAAAGGCAAAAAAACCCAGCAAAGCACAATCCAATTCCTTCCTGAATCCCCGAAAGGAAATCGGAATATTCCCTGGATCAACTTTACCTATAAATGTTAGTATCCAGTTATATTCTGTGTATCTAAGAAAGAATCCAGGACTTTTTTAAAGCAATCCATTGAGCTGGCCAGAACCAACTCTTGAAGGAGTCTATTCCACATTTTCACAGCTCTCACTGTGAAGAAACCTTTGTGTTTGGAGATTACATTTCTTTTTCCTCCAGACGTAAAGTGTGCCCCTTGTCCTCTGTGATGACCTCAGGGGGAATAGCTCTACACCGAGTCACTAAATGAACCACTGGTGTATTAACATGGATAACATATCCCCCCTTTATGTATTATACATGGTGATCATAGCCCCCCTTATGTATTATACATGGAGATCATATCCCCCCTTTATGTATTATACATCGGAGATCATATCCCCCCCTTATTATTATACATGGAGATCATATCCCCCCTTATGTATTATACATGGAGATCATATCCCCCCTTATGTATTATACATGGAGATCATGTATATCCCCCCCTTATGTATTATACATGAGAGATCATATCCCCCCTTATGTATTTATACATATCAATCCCCTTTATGTTATACATGGAGATCATATCCCCCCCTTATGTATTATACATGGAGATCATATCCCCCCTTTTTATTATACATGGAGATAATAATCCCCACTTATGTATTATACATGGAGATCTATATCCCCCCCTTATGTATTATAACATGGATGATCATATCCCCCCTTATGTATTATACATGGAGAACATATCATTATGATTATTATACATGGAGATCATATCCCCTCGCTGTTTGATTAATACATGGAGGAGATCATATCCCCCCCTTATGTATTAGTACATGAGATCATAATTCCCCCCTTTATGTATTTATACATGGAGATTTTATATCCCCCCTTAATGTATTCAGTTTTATCAGATATTCATATCCCCTTAATTATCTTATTTCGATATTTTATGTCCCCCATAATATGTTTAACATTCATACCCCCCCCCCTGATGTTTATTTTACTTTTGGAGATCATATCCCCCCTTATGTATTATACATTGAGATCATATCCCACCTTATGTATTATACATGGAGATCATATCCTCCCTTAATATTATTATAAACATGGTTGATCATATCCCACCGCTTATGTATTATACATGGAGATCAATATCCCCCCTTAGTATTATACATGGAGATCAGAATCCCCCCTATGTATTATACCAATGGAGATCAATATCCCCCTTGATGTAATAGACAGGGAGATCATAATCCCCCTTATGTATTAATACATGGAGATCAAATTCCCCCCTTAGGTTATGTATTAGACATGGAGATCATAATCCCCCTTATGTATTCTACATGGAGATCATATCCCCCCTTATGTATTATACAAGGTGATCATATCCCCTTATTTATTATACATGCGATAAATACCCCCTTATGTAAATCATACATGGAGATCATATCCCCCTTTTGTATTATACTGGGACTACCCCCCCTTTTGATTAACATGGGGTCTATCCCCCCTTATGTATTATACTGGAACAATCCCCCTTATTATTTACATGGGATCTATCCCCCCCTTATTTTATTAACATGGGGATCATTCCCCCCTTATTAAAATTAAAAAGGGAAACATATCCCCCTTATTTTTTTATACAGGGATCATATCCCCCTTATGATTAACATGGAGATCATACCCCCCTATGTTTTATACATGGAATCATATCCCCCCCTTTTTTATTATACATGGAACATAACCCCCTTTTGGAAATTTTACAGGGATCAACCCCCCCTTATGTAAAATACATGGGGAATCATATCCCCCCCATTTTAAATACTGGGATCCCTCCCCCCTTTTTTAATTAAAAAAGACAATCCCCCCCTTTTGTATTTTAATGGGCTATCCCCCAAAATAAAACAGGGGATATATCCCCCCTTTTGATTATAATGGAGACATATCCCCCTTATTATTATAATGGGATCTTCCCCCCAATTAACATGGGGATCATACCCCCCCCAGTATTATACATGGGATCATACCCCCCCTTATGTATTTACATGGAGATATTCCCCTTATGTATTATACATGGGATAAACCCCCCATGTTTTTACTGGGAAAAATATCCCCCCCTTTTGTATTTAATGGGAAAAATACCCCTTTGAAATTTTAAAGGAATATACCCCCCCCTTTGTTTATACATGGGATCCTATCCCCCCTTTTTTTTTTTAACATGGGACATTCCCCCTTATGATTATACAGGAGATAACCCCCCCCCTTTGATTATACATGGGATCAACCCCCCTTTTGTATTTACAGGGATAATCCCCCCCTTTTGTATTATAAGGAAAATTTCCCCCTTAGTATTTTACATGAGATCATACCCCCTTGTATAAAATGGGATTATCCCCCCTTATGTATTATACATGAGATCATAACCCCCCCTTTTTTATTATACATGGGGATCATACCC